TCATTGAATTTCACATAGCCTTGCTTTCCCAAAAGTTGTTTTTATCCAGGGTGGGAAAGCAAGACAATGTGAAATTCAATGTAAAAGTCAGCTAAACTCATCTCATTGTGGGAAAATTCTACTACCATTCGTTCATGACCTTCGACGAAATAGGGTGAATACATCTCATATTAATTCAACTGACTATTTCTCTGTCACGAATTAGTGTTAGCCTAGGAGAATGCGCTTATGCAATAAGAAAACTTTTTTCGATCTTTCTGTTTGCTTTAACCGTCAATTAAGGCGATTGCAACTTTTTGCAAATTGTCGGGGTCGCCTCGGCGACTGAGAATCGGAGCAATTTATAAACATGCCTATTCATACAAACGAATGTATACTCGCATGACGAAAGACTTATCAGTCCTCACATTACAATGACCTTCGAAGTGAACCCCTCCCTCGGAAGAGCGACAACCACGGGTGGCATTTCTCTCCTGCCCTCCTCTCGATTTTAGCCTCCTTCATTTCTCCTTCTCCACGTCTACTTGGTTGAAAAAAAGAATACAGTTTCGTCTTTGTGGTTTAATCTGATATTTTTCCATTCGCTGTATGAATCGGATGTTTCGATTGTCGCGAAAGCTTGCGTCCATTCATAGGCCGCCACATCCACATTCCGTCACACTCATTTCCCCCCGTCTTCGTCACAATTCGGCCAAATGCCAGTGGACCTGTGTCCCCAATGCCAATTTGACTGATAAACCGGCCAACCTCCAAGCCAACGTGCCCGGCCAAATGCTAACTGAGTTGCCATGGCAGCGGATGGACGGTGGCAGTGAGCCGATAGAGGACGGGCGAAGATAGCAAAGGGCCTGACCAGGTCGCGTTGGCTGCCAAAGCCATGCAAAAGGTGAAGTCTTATGGCGCCAATGCAAGCAAAACAAAGCAAAGACGTATTATTCGAGACGGACTAATGAAATATGTCCGTAATCCAAATGCCATGGAGACTACCGATTGGTTGCCTAGTGACGCATATGAGTTTGCGACTGGTTCACGGAAGAACGAAAGACAATACACTATGAAATTTGAGCACCCGTAGGCAACAGGTCATCAGCATTTCTGCATGCATAATGAAGCATGTAAACCTTGCATGTTAGAGTTGGCAAGAAATGGAGATTTAGGTGTAAAAATATTTCCTACTGTAGATAATTTATCGAAAGTAAAGTCTTCAAGTTAGATCATAAAAGGTGGAGATGAGCTTTCCTACGGAATTTCATTTTGCAACTATTCCTGATTTTGGAGTCATTGCAACAAAGGCGAGTTGGTTGAAGAGGTCCGAGGCGACGAGAATCATTCTCTCAGGCCTCGGGACTCTCCCAAATCATCCATTTTGACGGATCCTGGATGTTAAGCTGAAAGCGTTGGGGCATTTTATGCTGAGCTACAGCCTCAGTTTGTAAGCAATCTCGACGTCTGGGAGTTGAGTTCCACATTTTTGGAGCGTCATTTTTGAGATTGAACTTGAAGCTCGGATTAATAAGCCCGTGTAAAAGATCCACAACTTGTCTCTCAATTTAGCAATGGCATGCAAAATTTCGTAATCGGGTTTATCTGAAGCCATCTTGAGGCGAAAAGGCAGTTGAATATGAGTTTGAAGCAGCTTAGGCAGCTGAATGGGATGAATTCCTGAAAGGTTTTCGCAAAACAGGTAGTCGAACAACTGATAAAGTGGAATATCAGACCAGCTGATTTCCTATGAATTTCCTGATACGTATATTACAAGGTTTTGTGCAATTCAACAGAGCTTATCTCAATGCAAATCTGTTTGGAAAGGTCTAAAGTTAGGAAGTGGGCGTAAACGTGCTAGGGCCGTCACACCTAAATTTGAACAATGCATCCAAACCGTATGCCCAAACTTGCGTAAAAATTTGGGATAAAAAGTTAGTTTAATTATGGATTTCTGGTTAGGCCAATTTACAAATCCATCCTAACCAAATTTTTCTTCGATATCGAAAGTTGAATCACTTTAAATTACAAAAGAATTGTTCAAAATCTAATTTTTCTAAATACATCGTGATTGGGCTGATATGTTTGAATACTACTGACTAGGTAAGAAGTAGTATCGTCTAATAAGTTAAAATATGCCTTATCAACAACTGCCCATACTCGTTCCATTGCAATAAATTTAACTATTAGCCCATGTAATCATTTCAAGCAACCTGAGTTGACTTAAGTTCTTATTCACGATTTACTGATAGTCTTGAAACACGCTTATCCGATATAAATGAAGTTTGTTTAAGGATTGAAGTGAATTCGCCTTATCTACACGTCCGTTTCGTTACTCAATTTCTCTAATACACAAGAGTCAGACACTGAAAGAAGATATGAATAAATGGACTAAGAACTGATTGAATATTAGTTCTATTGAGAGATCTATATACGATGAAATAAATGGCGTCACTATTGAATCTGGAAAAAATCTTTTTGACAAATATTTGACACCATATAAAATGAGTCTCGAAACAATACCCACGCTTATACATGCAAAACGAGGACAACGGTACTTCTTTTCCAACTATTCGTTCATAGAGACTTGAGGAGGAACAATAAAACAATAATAATTTCCTTTAAATAAAGCCCTCTTGTTAAAACTCTTTTATAAAAACATACAGTTTATCGGAGATTTTGAGGGCTCAATTAAACAAGTAAGCTTTCTGTAATTTCACTGCCAAAGACTTATACAAAGAGCTTGGAATGAATGATAATAATGATGAAATAAGGATGAGATCCACAGTAAAGTAATAGTACGGAGCAGTAGTAGCGCAAGAATGCGAGTACCCATCAAAGTTGTTTTAAGAAATGCCCTGATTATGTGATTTCGTCCAGGGAAAATAGTTATGCATAGGCTGACTAAACGACAAATTCGTGAAAATTTTATGTCTTTCCGAAGCTGGCAAAGTCCGATCCTCTTGATCCTTGCACTTACACGCGAATTTGTCTAGACTCAGCTTCTTCGTGAAGTTTATCACAAATAAAACAAGTTGTCTAAAACTACAGTTTAGTTAACCGAATCACTTTTCGCTACATTGTATTGCTGAATATTTGATTTTACGTTTTTATAATTCTTTGGCGCCCAACAGT